TAAGGAAAATATTTTCCTCCAATTGGAGGAAAATGAGTTCATAAGGAAAATGTTTTCCAAAATTTTTAAGCCAACCAAACATGAAAATTGGAAAATATTTTCCTTTGTACCAAACACACCCTTAGTTTCTCCTATTTGGTCTCCGTTATTGAATAAGAAAACAGAAAAGAGATTACTCTTTGTACTTCAAATTAGGGGTGGGCAAAAAATTCGAAAAATCGAATTCCGAACCGAACCAAATTAATTTGGTATTTCGGTTTCGGTTTTTTCGGTTTTTCGGTCTAATTCGGTAATGAATTTTCGGTATTTCGGTTTTTGGTTTTATAATTTTACAAATTTGGTAAATCGAAATACCGAAAATATCTAAGCGACTAAGCCCAATTACCTATTTTATAGGCCCATGCGGCCAGGCCATGCCCCATCCCCAGCGTCCCACTCCCACCCAGGCCCAGCTCCCCCAACTCCCAACCCAAGCCCAATCCCAATCAATACCCAAGTACCCAACCCAAGACCCAAGTCGAGAATCAAATTAGGCATTTCATTAGGGCTTGCTTACTGCTTCAGAGTCTTCACTCTTCAGTGCTTAGCCATTTCATCGAGAAGAAGGAGACGAGAATCGACTGCGAGTCTAGGATATCACTTATCAGTCTGCGATTCTAGACGAGAATCGACTGCTTAGGATATCAGTCTACGTCTCTACGAGTTACGACTTACGAGTTACGATCAGTCGACATTCGAGCTCGAGTCTCATCTCATCTTCACCGGTTAACTTCACTACTTTTGTAAGTTTTGTAAGTCTCGTCTCATTCTCATGATCTCATCCCAGTACTCGACTACTCTCTGAGGTTTTATTTGAGTTTTTACATTTTTAAGTTTTGAACTTTTTGAGTTCAGAGTTCGCATAAATTTTTTAATTTCTGATTTTCTGCATCAAACTAATTTAGGGTTATAGGAGGCGATTTCCAGCTCGATTTGATTCCTCACTCCTCAATTTCAGAGGTTTGTTGTTTCGCTTTCTTTTGGTTGTACTGATGATTGAATGAACTGTTGTTCCGAGCTTTTCCCTTTAGTAGGAAAATATCATCTGTATTCTGTATCACGTTCATGGCTTCATGCTGTTTAATTCATTTGCTTGTATAATAA